GGTAGACAATCCCAAGTAGTTGGAATTAGGGCGAAGAAAATTTTAATTCACTAACCTAAAAAACAGAAATCAATGTATTACACATTTAAATTGATGGAAATCAAAATTTGAACTACTTCTGACCACCATTTAAAAGAGGATAATCAAAAAACTAACGTCAGATTTGAATTCAGAGGCCTAAAGAATATAAGCATAAACTTTTTTTTTCTGATAAAAATGTCAGATTTTTTTTAAAAATACACTCACTATTACCAGTGTTTGTCAACGTAAGATCTAAAAATTTTAACGAAATAGGGATGATTTTTTTAAGTCTGCACAAATTTTTTAATCAGATCTATTCATTTATGGGCATAATTAATGGTTGTTACGTTATAAAAGTGTTTAAAACATCAATCATTTCAAAATTTATATTGTTCTTACTGGATGTTTTAAACAGGTTTAAAAAAACCCAGCACAGGGGAGTCGCGACACAGTGGTGACGTGGCATAGATGGATCAAGTATAATGATATCTAACAGTGATTAAAATCACTATAAAAAAAAAAACGCTTCGATGCAAATCTTTAGATACTGTTTAATTTTAAAAAACTGGTGGATTATTCCAAAAGCTACATTATCTGCTAGTTCATTATTAATATCCTAATTAAGATGAAGTATGTAGAATGAAAAAGGGATTATTAAAAAATATTATTTCTTATAAAAAAATAATATTGATCCATACACTTTTAAATATGTCATAGCATTATAAAGTTAAAAATGTAAAAAATAAAATCGAGAATTTTCACATAATAATAGCATTTGGTAGCCATTTTCACCGTGAAGATAAAATAAAGTCCGAAATTTTTTTTTACCATTATAAAGTATATTACATTAGCTTTAATTTAAGATATATATAAAAGTGTCAGACCTTCCGGAACACTTTCAAAAGTTACGTTGAAAAAGTTCTACTTTCTATATGCATTTTTATGTTTTGAATCCCCCCTGTATTTAGGGAAATGGTCCGATTTAAAAAAACAGTATGTCGAATGAAAGATCTATATAAATACTACTTCTCATAAAAAAATTGTAATGATTCATACATTTTTCAAAAAGTTATAGCATAATAAAGTTAAAAATGGAAAATACAAAATCGAAAATTTTCACACAAAAATAGCATTCGGTAGCCATTTTCACCATGAAGATAAGATAAAGTCCGAAATTTTTTTTTTTCATGATAAAGCATATTACATTAGCTTTAATTTAAGATATATATAAAAGTGTCAGACCTTCCGGAACATTTTCAAAATTTAAGTTAAAAAAATTAATTTTTTGTGAAAAAGTTGTCATTTTAAATCCCCCCTTGTGGGCAGGTTAAGGGTTAAATTTATGAAAAAAATATACCAAATGAAAGGTAATGATATTATGCATCTATATAAAAAAGAATTATATTGATATGTTTATTTTTGAAAAAGTTATGGCACTTTTAAGTAAAAAAAATTGAAAAAATTTCGAAAATTAGCGATTTTTAAATTTGTAATTTTTTTGGAGGTTTCCCCCATTTACGGGGAACGAGGGAATTTTTTTCAATTTTTGAGGGTAATGTCTTCGACTAGATACAATTTGTGATCTTTTGACGTATCATTGAAAGAAATCGGTTCGGTGAGAGCTGAGAAAAAGTGGTAACAGACACAAAAAAAAAAAAAACACATCTTAGTAAAACCAATACCTTCTCAGCTTCGCATCGAAGCTAAAATTATGTTTTTAATAACTCTGATTTATAAATTTGTTACTCATGTAAATGATTATTATTAAACAATTATATCTAATGATAATAAATCATAAAATATATAATATAATATATCATAAAATAAATCATTTAAATATATTTACTCCATATATACTACATATTTTTCATTTAGAATTTTTATGTACTTTAAATAAATAATTAGATTATAGTTTATTAATTACATCATTTTTTTAAATAAATTTTATTTGTGTAGCATGTCTATATTATTTTATTAACCCAAACCATATAATTTGGTATTAATAATTTTTTAATTATAATACTTTGATGTTCGTCATAGGCGTACACTGAGTAGTTTGAAAGAGCTTACACTATTAGTAAGAAAATGTTTTTAAAAATATAGTTTAAAAAACTAAAAAAACACGCTTTTAAAGTACATCGAACTAAAAAGTTAAAAATAATTTTTAAAATAATTATGAACAAAAAATACTAGTATTATTGTGATAAAAGCGTCGGGCGCTCAATATACGAAAAATATGGCACAAAGCACCCACGCTTTTATCACAATAATACTAGTATTTTTTGTTCATAATTATTTTAAAAATTATTTTTAACTTTTTAGTTCGATGTACTTTAAAAGCGTGTTTTTTTAGTTTTTTAAACTATATTTATTTTTTACTTTTTAGTTTCATGTTATGATAGTAGTTACTATCAATATCATGGTTGTTACGGGTAACGGGAAATCAGGGTTCGATTCTGGGGAGGGAGTCTGAGAAACGGCTACCACATCCAAGGAAAGCAGCAGGCGCGTAAATTACTCACTCCCGGAACGTGGAGGTAGTGACGAAAAATGACGATACGGAAATCATCCCTCGTAATCGGAATGAATACTTTATATCTCTTAATTAGAATAAATCGTGTTAATATATTAATTTTAATAGTAATTAGAATATATATATTTATACAAATAATGCGACTTAACTACGTAAAAGTATCATGCACTAAGTATAGCTGTGTTTTATGGCCGGGCGGGTCGGACTAACGTTATACCCGAGGTATAAACGGCGGTAGGAATATATATATATATACGTAAGGCGCATTAGACGCGGGCGTTATTGGTCAGTCAAAATAAAAATTTGTTTACATATATATAATATTGATGACAAGCACGCGTGTACGGGTACGATAACTAAAAATAAATTTTTATAGGAATAGTGTACCGTCGTATTGTGAGCGAGGCGTGGGGAGGGGTGAATGCGTATAACAGTCTAGTCTAGACAACGGAATATGCGATAACGCGTGGCGTTTGGAGAGTTACAAACTTACATACAAACAACATACAAACAATATACAAAATACATGTGAAACTAATAAAAGCGTGTTAATAAAAGCGTATTAAAAATATTCATGTTGTAAAAAATAACGTATAAAATATAATGTTTCGTATTTTGATTATAAAGAAATGAAGTTAGAGGACGGCTTTATTTTAAAATTTTCATAATTTATTTTATTTTATCAATTAAATATATTTAAATTGTAACTTCTTTGAATCGCTATAGAAATTTAAACAAAAGTTAGCATGCTAAAATTGTTTGTCTACATTGCAAAATTGCATGGTTAAAATACCTTTAGTTTATTTTATTAGGTTAATTATGTCAAATTACGTTTTTTTGGTGCAAATTAAGTTAGGACTTAACTTTTAAAGCTCTGAAATATATGGAATTGCCATCATACAAAATTCTGTTGATAAAGAATCAATATACACTATTTTTGCATGCAAAAATGTAATAACCTAAAAATCATAATTTTTGAATTTGCGTTCGTCTAGTTCTGAGCTACAGATTTTGAGTTGTAATTTCGTGATATGTAAAACAAAGGCATACACTAAATATTAAATAAATACGACATTTTTGTTAGACTTAGTTTCATCTCCTAGAATAAAACTATAATTATAACTATAGTTACTAACTACAGTTTATAAATAACTTTTAGTTTACAAAAAACTATAAATAATTTAACCTCTGTTAGGTGTCACATTTTCGAACTGTTAATATTAATTTTCTTGATTCAACAGAAATTATTTTATTTTTCAACTTGTAATTGAATCTTAAGAATATTTTTTTATTCTTATATATTTATATACAAAACTTGCAGTATTACTATACATTGTAAACATATTACATTAATTCACATAAATTATTGATAAACCACCGACTCGAAAACACCTCAATGGTCGGGGTACCCAGTATTTTCGCCTAAGTGGACACGACTTGCTTTTACTTAAACAAAGGACACAATATTCTGACAACACAAATGCAAATTTTATTATAACGAAATACAATATTACACAAACTATAGTTAACTGGTTTGTATGCAACCTGGTTACTTCAAATTCCCCGTAGACCAAGACCAGACACGCTTCTCCAAACCATAAACTCGTGGATGGGCATCCAAATCCACCTTTGATATTTAAGTGACGATCACGGAACTCTAGTTGTGGGCTTTCAAGTTGAGGCACTCACCGTCCGTCATAGGATCGTCCCAGCATAGGTGCCAAACACATACTCGCCGGACGCCACGACGCGCAACAATTTCGATCGCGTTTACCGGTTATATACAAGTGGCGCTACAAATGATCGGCGGCCAAACAATTATAAAATTTTATACACGTTTTCTATGAGAATATCAGTTATGTTGAAAACGTAATCCTTAATTTCATAAAAACTCTACATAGTGTTCAGTAAGGGAACGGTTTTTATTGTTCTCATGGTTTGTAACAATTTAGTTGTTTCCTTACTTCTGAACCTGTATATATTATTATATAAAAACTTTTATTAATCCCTATTCTCTAAAGAGACGTATTTAGGCCCTATAGGCCCGTGCCTAGAGCAGCAAAATTTGGAGGGTGGCAAATTTTAACAACTTTATTTTTTTACAAAATTACAAAAAGTATTTTTCATTTGATGAAATCAAATTTCACTATTTTTTTTTAATAGAAAAATTATTTTTATACAAGTTATATATTATACAATTTAGAATTACAAGTTAAACTGTAAACAAACACGTCCGTTTGCTCAAAATAAAACAGATACCAAAATATTATACACACACGCAATACAGTACGAACCAGTACGCATATAAGTAACAAAAAATGCGAACATTTGATATGGGTTTCATTTCTCATAGTGTAGATTAAAATCTAATCATATAGACAGTATAGTATATAGGTATATATAATATATATAGTATATAGTAATGATAGGAAAACCCGCTTATAGTTATCGAGCCGCCCGTCTTTATCTTTCATTTCAATTCCTATAAAAATAATATTCAATTTTATATGAACTGACAACTGTAAACTAAACCACGAAATGCTCTATTATTGGACCCGATACATGAGCGGGACAATTTGCAAATCTTGACAACAGGTAATTTGTTAATGTATAACTTAATTATTATAAAATCATAGTAAAATGAATAAGAAGTATGCTCGATTACAGTCCGCATTTTCGTCGTAGTACACGCTGTGCATCGCCTAATGTTTTTGTGCATTCGTATACGATCGGTGAAATACGACCGCTGCCGAATGCACTTTAAAATCGCGCGATTTTTAAATTGCTAATTCTGATATAATATATATGATAGACATAATTTTTAAGGAATAATTATATTAATTACTTTAAAACAACACATTGTAATAATAGTTTATAATAAATTTAATCGTGGATACTTATTTTAGATTCTATGTATTTTTTTGTTGTAACTTTTGTATTTTAATGAAAAATTAGGATTTTGTACCTCGTTAATTAAACGTGAGCTATATTAACTAGTGTACAGACTTATTTTTTCATGTTCTAACATTCATTTACAACACTTTAACGTTCTAATAACAGTTCTTATTATTTTCATGAAACTGTTGTTAACTAAAAAAAGTTCATTAAAATACTTGGCTAAATCGGGACAGTGCCCCTTAATATACAGAGTGTTCAGTAAGTCAGGAAACGGGAAACAATGAGAACAATAGAAACCCATATCCTGACTTACTGAACACTCTGTAGAATATATACAACGCTATGTATTTACATGTGACGTCACGTTGAGTTTATTGTTGGTTGCATATTTTGCCCCTAGGCATNATATCCTGACTTACTGAACACCCTGTAGAATATATACAACGCTATGTATTTACATGTGACGTCACGTTGAGTTTATTGTTGGTTGCATATTTTGCCCCTAGGCATATCATGCGCACTAATTTGATCGAGCATACTTCTTATTCATTTTATTATGTATAAAATCACCTCGTGCGTAAATTTTCTTATAGATTTTATTTTAATTAAACTAGATTATAAATTATAACAATGGCTGATTGTAGAAAAAGATTAAGTGGACACGAGTACAAAAAATAGTCGAAATTAAAGGACGAAAGGGAAAAAAATATTCTAAATAAAACTCCAATATTGCATACGTATTTAAAAAAAACCCTGATTCTGATTCAAACGGTAGTAAAAGCACAGAAACAGAAACTCAACAAGTCGAAATAAATACAACTCTTGATAATAATGAAAAAATGTAGTCACAGTAAACAATTTCAATGAATTCGAACATTTGTTTCCAATTTTTTTCAAACCGATCCCGATAAATGGTTAATTAATGAATCTTTTCGTAACTATGTGGCAAAACATGGCTTAAATCTAAACCTAACCGATGATTTTTCTTCTTCCATTCGAAAATATAATGACAAAACACGGTATTTAACAAAAGCCTTATTTCAGAGGAAAATGGTAAATGGTGAACTTGCATTACTTTCTTGGCTTGTATATTTTAAAAGTAAAGGTGTAGTATTTTGTGGGCCTTATTGTTTATTTGAAAATAATTCAAACAAAATTCAACTTGTAACAGGGGGTTATAATGACTGGGAAAATGCCAATCAGCGTTTCAATTAGCATGAAAATAGTCAAGAACACAAAAAATCAATTATAGCACTAAAATTACAAAGTAAAGAACTCGGAAAAATTGATAACAGTTTAGTAATACAACTACAGGAAGAGACTATCTACTGGAGAAATGTTTTAAAAGGGTAGTTGCTACAATAAAGTCATTAACTTCTCGTGGATGATCGTTACGTGGCCATAACTCTAATTTTGGCTATAATCACAATGGAAACTATATGACGTCTTTAGAGCTAATAGCTCAATTCGATCCATTTTTAACACGCTT